TCATACATAACGTCACGTGCGAGGTACTCTAGAGATATTCGGAGAGCGTGGCCGGCAAATCGATCTGCCCGTCCCACCAAAACACAGAGAGGGCGCGAGAGAGCATGGAGATGTACTCGGTACCTCGTACCTCGTACTGTTTTCATCCTTCACTGAAGCCCTCCCAAGTTCCCAAGATCAGAACACTGCCCCGCGGGTGCCCATGGGATGGGGGATAAGAGGTGATGGAACCACGAACCATGAGCACTGACGGGAGACCACCGACCGGCCGGACCCGTGCGCTACCCCGTCCTGCTCTATATCGTCCGGTCCTGTTCTGCTGAAACGTTATGGAAAAAAGACACTTGGTAGAGTAGGTAAGACACGAGACAGACACTAAAGGCTGAAGATTGAAGATGGAATTCGGCAAAGGAGGCTCTCTCTCCCTCTCCCTCTTCCCAATTAGCAGAAAAGCGCAGACAAAAAAGACTGAATTGATAGACGGACCGGACCGGACAGAACAGACAGACAGATTAGACTCCCTCGTGCCCATTTCCTTGCCCTTGCCCCTTGCCCTTGCCTTGCCTTCATCCCTTTCCCTTGCAATTCGAACTAGAAAAAAAAAAGACCCTGGAACTCGCTGTGATCGATTCGCATTCACACACACACAAAAAAACATTTGAGACGCGAGAACTTTTTTTAATGGTCGCGTGCTTTCCCCATTGCTGCCGAATCCCCTTTTCAGCATCTCTATAACATCGCGTCTCGGTGCTTGTGCCTCGCCCTCGCTCCCTTCCACATCATTCATTTCGGCCTCCCCAGTCATCCTGGGAAGACAACGCACGCACATGAATAGAGGAATGAGGCTGTCGATATCCAGATTTCACATTTTTGGGAATTTTCCCCTTTTTTTCTTCTGCTCTGCACTTCGCTCGCCTGATCTGCGAGTGAGGCTGACTTTCTGTTCAGTTGTTTTGAGGCAAACAAGAGGTGCTCGAGAAACCGTGCTTGTCAAGATTAGACACGAAACAGGAGAACAAGAATGAACTCCAATTGCACCAATGTCCGGTCATAAGAGTCGTGGATAGGAAACAACGTGCGCAGTGTGTCTTGCCAATGCCTTGAAGAACAAAAGCGAACCAGCAAACCCTCCTCCAGTCCTGTGAAAGAGTCCACACACAAGAAAAGCCTATCCAGTAAATGATTTCGAAGGGGTTGTGTGAGAAATCAAATGAGCCCTCAGGTTCGCGTAACAGTCAAGTTTGGGGGGAGAGAAAAGGGAACCCGTCAGAAGCTGTCGATGCGATCGTTGATAAGGAAAAAGGTGATTTGGTTGATGATGCCCGCCCCGTCGAGGATGACATTTGAGTCAAATTTCCGCTGTTGGAACAAAAGTATATCCTCCTCCCAAGCCATGTCTACCATGCCCAGATTTTGAGCTACAGGCAATACGTCAGTCGAGTTCTTCAGACTGGTCAATAAAGACTAATGATAACTTACTAGAGAATCCCAAGAGCCAGTACATAAACTGATCCCGTCGTTGCTGACTCCAAGGCAACTGACCCGGTTTTCGTGACCGTTCAATGAACCGACTTTATCACCACGCAAAGTGTCCCAGACCTCGAATTCACGTCAGTGGGTTCAAGCAGGAGGTGCTGCTCGGGCGGGACTTACCTTGCATTCAAAGTCATCATACCCAGCAAAGAGTAACCGGCCAGAAACTGAGAAAGCGACAGACGTGATACCGCAAAGCACTTGTTCGTTCTATGAAAGAGGTCAGCCAATCCGCGGGAACAGAACACCGTTAGGATTCAGAAGTTTACCTGATAAGACATCAGTTCTCGATCTGCCCGAATGTCGAACAGTCTGCAGGAGGCGTCGTCCGAGCCAGTTCCAAATGCATTTCCATCTGGGAAGAATTGAATGGCATTAATGTCAGATTCATGTCCAGCAAATGTTTGAACGGCTTTCCCGGTTCGGACGTCCCATAACTTGGCAAAAGCGTCGCAGGCGCCGCTCACGAATATGTTGGCGTTGGTTGGATTTATGCTGATGCTCATCACGTCCCCCAAATGATCTGCAAACTCTGTTACTTTGGAACCGGTTTCGATATCCCACATCATGCAGGTCATGTCACCGGACGAAGTGATGATCTTTCGGTCATTGACAAAACGACAGCATGACAAGTATCCAGAGTGACCAGACAGTTCGCGAGCCACACGCGTCGGGCCTTCCCTCGTGGAGAGATTGTAAATTGAGCAAATGTTGTCGAGACCACCGCAAGCGACGTAATTACCACTAGGGGCATATGCGCAGGTCATGACCCACGAGGAACGGAGGGGAATAGCGTGGACCTTGTTAGTGGTATATGCATCCCAGATGATGAGCTTGCCATCCTGAGACGCCGACACCAGATGCCTGCGATCTGTTGACCAGTGCATGGCGTAGATTTTGGCGAGATGGCCCTTGAGATTTCTTCGAGGCTTCATGCCTATCCGAGGTAAGGCCTCTGTGTTGTTGAGAGCGACTTGTCGCACTGCCGAAACACGATTGATTAGCAATCTAGAAAGTGGTGGGCAAGTAGGCTGCGCCTGATAGGAATTCAATGCACAGGTCCATCGACTTACAGCTTGTATCAGCCAGGTCATCCTTCTTGCGTTTAATTCTGTCTTTAAGGCCCTCTGCTTCTCTCCTGGCAGCTGTGATTTTGGCCTGCATCTGCTCTCCGGTAAGGTCGGTCGACATGGTGCCGCTCGGGCCCTCGTCGGACCAGGGTTTAAGGGGGGTTATTCGCAAGGAAGTCAGCCGTCAAAAGCTCAGCTTCGCCAGAGCGACGCGCACAGCAAGATAGATGTCTGATCGGTGTCGAGGCAAGTTTCGCGATGAACGAGCGCAGGAGCTCCGAGGAGCGAGGTATCAGGGACGAGGTGGATAAAATACGGGGGGGCCACTAGAGCTGCGATTGGGAGAGTTCGGGATTGCGGCAGAGTGCAGTCAGGTTCGACGGCGAGAGGGAGGCAAATCGGGATGGGATGTTTGGAGAGGAGACGAAGCAACTGACTGCCTGCAGAGCGGCGAAAGTTGTCGACGAGGAAGTGGTAGAAATCGAGGGCTTTGGTGGTGGTGAGGTCGGGTCACAGAATTGAAAAAGGGCAGTCTTTGGGGGAAGGCGTGCAGAAGGAATGGATGCCACAGTTGGGAGGTCCGGGTCTGGCTTCTTGGGGCTCGGGGCACCAGGGGGGTTGCTTTGACTCTTCCTTTGACTCTTGGTTCTTGGTGTCTGGTTCGTTAAACTCCAAGTGGGGATTTGTGTCGGTTCGGGGGGTTGGACTCCCCTGTTCTTTGCCCACTACGGACAGTTTCAATTGGCGAACTCAAGGCAGGGATTGAACAGTCCCGAAAGACGAGGACGAGGGTCTTGCTACCGGTACGAGGAGTGACAAAGGGACACACAATCCACGAACTTCAAACATCAACCACCAACCATCACCACAATCCAATTACTCGGCTTCGGGTCAGGTGCACCATCTTGTTCGGCTCTACAAGCACAGGTCACAGATCGTCGCTGTCACCATCTACCTATACCGTTCCTTTGATGGGACTTCCTCCCCCGCCCGATCTAGCCTTGATGGTCAACCATCTCGAATGCAGCACATAGGGGTCTTGCACACGGCCGAGAAACATAGGCAAGCCAAAAAAAAAAAAAGAGTGGGAGAAAAAAACATGTCAAATTCTCCTAAACGAGATCCTAGTGAACGATACCTCTCCCCCTTGGCTGGTCTTCACTGCTACTGGCTCTCATGGTGGCAACCATTGCTGCGTTAGTCCTACATTGAGCAAGCCGGGGGAAGAGTGCCGGGTGGCCCTCAAGCTCCGGAGAGGCGCACCGGCGCCTCAGCCCAGGCAGACCAGGGATATGAAGTTGCCAATCCAACATGCAGAAACCCGCCTGAGAACTGGGGACAAAATTGGGAAGCGAGAACAACTCTGGCAAAAGAGAAATTGGCCGGCCGCGTCTAATATGGGCTAGAGATGGTCATCAGTTGGTGCAACGCCCGAATCCCCCGTTTTCTACTACCGGGATCCGCTATTGCAGCAAGGAGGCAGAGATGGAGCCTCCCATTCAGCCTGGTCCTGTTTTCTCCATCCCAAAAGCACTTGGACGCTGATCCTCACACCCACCATCGGTCCACTAGCGACACTAGGTTGGTCATCATCCCCACGGGCTTATCGTTGTGTCCACTACATACGTCCGTGCTTGTTCCTGTCAACTCTCGTGGCATTGTCCACCTGCGATACCAGCCATCTTCTCTGCGCACGTTGTCTGAATAATAGCATTCATGAAGACGGAGTCTCTTTATAACGCAGGTGTCCCCTAAGCACTTAGTCAGGAGGATCTGCACTCTCCTGATCCCTCCGTCTCTATTACGAACCACACGTGGCTTTCGCTAATCTAACAGTGATGAATGTCACAACAGTCGGAAAGGTCCCTCATAGTAACAATTGTTAGGAGCAAAGGGCTCGAAAAAGGAAGCATTTCGAACCGACACAAGGTTCATTCAATGGGGGCAAGCTACTGCACACAGTCCCCTCGTGCAAGGCGTCAATTCAGTCGCAGATGGGAGTTCTGATAGTGTCTTGTGCCAGCTCCGACCATGCAGATCAGGTGCTAACACAGCTTGTTCCAATAATAGAGCAGACAACAAACTTTCTCCTCAATTGCAGCTCTTATTTGTATGAGGATGGCGAATCTGGATCTCGCTGAAACGGTGGATCTATGTCTCTCGGTGAATGCTGGTGCCGGAAATGCAAATGCTGCAAACTCGGCAAACTCTCCAAACCTGGCAAAAAGTGTGTTGTACCGTGACTGAGAGGAACACGCCACACACTTCCTGCTCACTGGTCATCATCACTGTGCCACTTTGACTGCGACTCTCTGGTCATCTTCTGCCGGGTATTTTTTGCTTGCCTTCCGAAGCTGCTTTGTCCTCTCCTGGTCGCTTGATTCATCGCTCTCCACAATGTTCTGGACCATCGGCTGCATCTACGGCGCCTCCTCGGTTATCTTTGGCGCGTTTGGAGCCCATGGGCTGAAAAGACACATCAGTGATCCGGCAAGGCTCGCAAACTGGTCGACCGCTGCTCAATACCAGGTATTTCGTCGAGGATGACAGAAAAAAAAGGTCACAATCACTTTCTAACGTTATTCCTCCAACGCAGTTAATCCACAGTGGAGTCCTCCTCCTGACGGCAGCAGTGGCCCCAAAGAACAAGGTAGTATCCGCGCTCTTTTATGGGGTCCTTGATTCTAAAATCTCCTCTTCCCCCAGGTGGCCGCCACCCTTTTCACCGCTGGGATGACAATGTTTAGTGGGAGTCTTTACCTGCTCGTTCTGGATCCTCAGCGATTCAAGGCTTTGGGCCCCGTGACTCCCCTTGGGGGTATGTGCTTGATTGCCGGATGGGCAGCACTCGCTTTCGCCAGTCGAGGCCGATTTGTTCAGTAGTGCGACATGTACACGATGTGAATCCGTGTGAAGGATTGGGACGGGATCTAAATGTATTGTATTGTTTCGCTATCCTCAGCTCAATGTTACTACTATCGTCACCTGCATTTCGCAGCTCGTAGATGTCGATTGTCCCCCATCTCACACCTTTGCCGTCAATGTCTTTGCCACCCCCAACAAACTCCTTGCAGTATCCACGACAGTCGTTTCGAATGGCCGATACGCCACACCCAGCACCTCTCGCGACGACGAATTGTCGACCTTGAACGAGCCTGCAGGCAAGGCATGCTGGCCTGGATTCCCCAGGGGGATCTTCTCGTCGAGCTCCGGAAATTCCCTTCTCAAAATGTCGCAGATTTCCTGGTTGCTATTACTGCCAGGGAGTGATGAGAAATCTCCGGCCTCCAACCCCGGGAGCAAAGGCCGCTTGATAATGTGCCAACGACAAGTCCTGTAGAAACGGACAAATTAGCCGGGCGCCGAGCCATGGATAGATGAGACAGATTGTGGTGACTTACCCGGACATCGACAGAGATATGCGGAGAGTCATCTGGGACAGGGCGCCTTTTCCGGCATTCATGAGCCTCCAAAGAATCGCGTGTGACGTCTTCAGATCGCTCACGGAACCAATGCTGTGCCTGAGGGGACCGTACACGATGGGCGGGTTGAGGACGACGAGCTCAAAGCCTGGTTTCTCCGTCGTGACGAATTCCCAAGCTGCGTGCAAAGTCAGTCAGGATGTTGGCAACGATGACAGAAGATCACGCTTGACAGAATTGCTCGACTCACCTGCCTGCTCTGCCAGGGTCTTGCTCGCCCAATACGCCAGGTTCACATCCCCCGAGTATCCCTGCTCTTTGGTCACAGGGTTCCACGACTGGGAGGAATACACTCTCCCATTTCCTTGGAGATCCAGTGGGTTCCCGATGGCCGCAAAACTACTCGTGATGACCAGTCGTTTGAGCCCGGGCGCGTACTTTGCGGCCGACTTCAGGATTTCCGTCGTGCCATGGACTGCCGGGTCGATGAAATCACCAGATGACTTGACCGCGGCGAAGTTGAACGGGGAAGCGACGTGGATGATGGCGTCGAGGGGCTGGGCGTCCTTGATGCACTGGTCAAAGGCTCCCGGCGCCGTGATGTCGGACACGATAGAGAAGTCGAGCCTCGACCTGTCATAGCCGGAGAAGTCCTTGGTGACTCTCTTTGCTTTGGCTTCGGATCGAACCACAGCCTGCACCGAGCACGATTTCTCCAAGAAGAAGGACAGGAGATGACCTCCGATAAGCCCGTTGGCACCTGTCAACAAGACTCAGGGTGGCGCCATTTCAACGCTCCGGTCTTGTTGTATTGGCTTCGAGATCGGAGATTAAGTATATGAGATATTTCAGGTTCGAGCTGCTTCTAATATTTCTCAGAGGAATTCTTCGCTGACTTTATATCTGTACAGCCAGACCTCAAGACAGATTCATGTAAGATCAAGCGAGCTACAGACCCTCTCTCTGTTCTTTTCTTGACACCAAGACAACTTTCTGCGAGACAGACATGGATTCACCATATCCGAGTCCTTCAAGCAACCATACCTCGTATATAACGTGGTTCGATTTTCAAGGTTTGTATGGCGGGTAAAAGAACGCAGCTTGACCTCGGCCATTTCGGTTACCATGTTGAAAACAAGCATTTCAATGTCGACCACAGAACCAGTTGTCGCTCGCTCGCCTCATTCAATGATATTCATTGCCAACCCCGAATTACAGGCTATTTCTACGAGGGCCACGAAGGACCCGGCACCACGACGCCCGACACTTTGCCAAACCCACACCTCCTACCGTCAGCCGCCCTGAACCAGCCCTGGATGGCGAGTTCATCGCCGTCCTCGAGCCAGGACATGGACTTGCCACCCACCGCAGGCAACTCGTGTTGCTGCGCAAAGCACTCTAGGAGACATCCGTACGAGCCGAGTCCTTTCTTGATCTCTGGCGCTGGAGACGAGACGGTTCCACTGGCTACCAGATCACCCGTGTTGATTCCCCAGCCCCCCGAGGATTGGTATGCTATCATTTGTGGAACGCTCCAGTACGAGTGGCGGTAGTTGGACCGGACAATCTCGACGGGGCTATTGCCACCACCTATTCGCGACATTTCAGCATTGATGCTTCTAAAAACGGAGAAAATCACGACAAACTTACGAGCCACTGAAGCTGTAAACTCAATATCATAAACGCCGTGACTCGCCTCGTCGGTTACGAGTGACGAATGGATCGGAGTTGCGTTGGATGTCGGCGGGCCTGTGCAACAACTTGCTAACGCATCCACAGTCACAATCCAGGGCGAGATGGTGGTGACAAAGCCCTTGGAGTGCATCGGCCCCAGCGGAGGCATCTCGTACGGCTGGATATCTCTGGCTGACCAGTCGTTGTGGAGGACATAGCCGAAGATATGATCTGCCGCGGTCTTCGCGTCGATTGTCTGTCCGTGGGGGACCGGCTTGGAAATAAAGGCCCCGAGCTCGATCTCAAAGTCCACCTTCCGCGAGATCTGGAAAGCGGGCTGAGTCTCGCCTTCTTTGATGAAAAATCCACTCGGCCGATGGATTTGGTGACCCGATGGGAAGATGGAGGAGCAACGCCCATTGTATCCGAGTGGATAGAGCTTGAACGCCGGCGGAAGGTCAAGTCCCAGAGGTTTCAGAGACTGGCGACGAGTTAGAGAGTGTGAGAGTGGACGATATTTGGAGAATGGAGACTGGGCCGGCTCACATTTTCAGCGTGAATGAGAGACGAAAACGAGTCGGTGTAGTCGGTGATGTCCATCGGTAGGTGCATTTGTGTATCACGGGCCAACACAAAGGCTTTCTCATTCAGGTCTTGATCCGTAAAGAGGACTGACTTTTCGCTTGTGACATTCTCAATGATTGTCTGTCGGACCCATCTCCTTTCACTGCCTTCCAATGCCGCGAACGAGTTCAATGTGGGCTGGCGAAAGGTATCAGGAACGCCATGACCTAGAGCTCAAAAATGGAATGTCCACAGTCACCTCGAGGAAGACCTGTCTCAAGATCTTTGAAGTGTCTTGGTGGGCATCGAACACGCCGCGTCGAGCCAGCTCATGGAGTTCGATGACATAGTCTCCGAGCGCCACTCCAGCGCGTGGTTTGGTCTATAAAATCGAATTACAAGGCGCATCAGTAGGGGGGGGTTTTTTTTTTAATGAAGAAGATGGTGGATTTAAAGATACTAACTCCAAGACCAACACCCTGCGGTGTGCTGAAAATCCCAAATGGTATGTTATGTGGACCGAAAGGGCTGGCCTCGGGAAGCTCCACGGGAAAGGGCACGGCGACCATGATGAATAAAATTCCTAAATTTCTTCAACGGTAGCGCTGCAGAACAACTGTGGTAGTGGTGCTGGCGAAGCGGGAGACCAGTTTAGTATAAAACGGTCTTCTCAGCTGGTGCTGTGTCAAGGCCGACTTGTCGTCAACTTGAGTCTCGTTGACCTCGGACCGCAGGGTTGCCATGACCATACTTGTAGTTCTGACTATGGTTGCAGTCTGATAAATCTAATTAGCATATACCTATCGTGATAGTCAGTGGGTCCATACTTAGTTGGGACTATACTATTTGAGGACTAGCGCATTTGGACCTATACTTTGTACAGTCTGGCTCTGCTGTCGGGCCGATAGGACTGGTGTGGAGCCGTGTTGCCTGCTCTGGATTTATTCGCATACGATGACGGACCGAGCTCCAGATGCCGAACAGCACCCCGTACCACGTACCCTGTACCCCGGATTGAATGCAGAAAACCATTAGGCTACAGTTGAGTCCTAGATGTGGACCTAGCAGTTCAAAAAGTCAAAGTCTTCTGAGCTTTGTCAAGGACCGACACTGTCGAATACTAACCGAATTCTCTGCTAAGCATGGATGAGTATTTACTCCTGTATATCCACCTTGGGCACCCCCAGATTTCACTGGAGTCGCTCTGCATTACAGTTTCTCCCCACAATGGCTGCTCACAATGGTACTTCGGTCCCTACAGGTCCCCATACTGTTGGGATCACCGCCCGGATTGCTGCCGACTCCAAGTCACACGACGAATTTGAGCTCCAGGAGGAGGAGTATTCCGAGCAGCACCAAGATAATCTCACTTTTGATGAGGAAGAGGCTGAGCCTGAGCTTCACGCACGCACTTGGATCGCCCTCGCTGCGATGAACGTGCTGGTTTTCACCCAGGTCCTGGCGCTTCAGGGGCCTCCGGCAGTGGTACGTGAACACCCTGGGGATTCCGTGACAAGTGTTTACCATCACCAGTTGACCTACATCGGAACGGACCTGCACAACACCACCACCCAGACCTGGGTCGTCAATGCTCTATCGCTGGTCCAGGCGGTTGTAGGACCTGTCCTGTCCACCGCATCCGACGCCTTCCAGGCCCGAAAGCTCCTTCTCGTGGGCACTTGCGCCATCGCTTTCATCGGGGCATGCATCGCGCCTGGGTCAGAAAATATTTACCGACTGATCGGAGCGAGCATTTTGATCGGGTTTGGCTTTGCAGCAGTCCCTCTGGGGTATGCTGTGCCTGCGGAAATCCTCCCTCGTCGATGGCGACCCAGTGAGTTCCAACGTATCTTGACACTTTGTTTACCTAGTCATAATTCAAATTTGAACTGATGATCGCTGTGCTATCAGTGGCCCAAGCGGCAATGAACGCCTCGGCGCTGCTCGCAACCGTGGTAGGGCCGTTGGCCATCGGAGCACTCATTAAACGCGATACACACAGCGGTTGGCGTGACTTCTACGTAAGTCTTTGAAAGATCCAGATCACAGAAATACAGCACACCATTGACACTGTATGTCACCAGTGGTTTCAGGCGGCCCTATGGGGCACCAACGTGATTTCAGTCTTGTTCGCATATCGACCTCCCAAACGGCACACCGAGCTGGACAATCTGCGCTTTTGGCACAAAATCAGACGTCTTGACCTTGTTGGATGCGGCATCCTGATGGTCGGGCTCACCCTGTTCCTCACAGGTACAAGCCTAGGAGGCGGCCAGTATACCTGGGTCGACGCCCGCACTCTTTCCCCGTTGATCATTGGGATTTTCGGCCTCGTCGCTTTCGGCCTCTACGAGTGGAAGGGCACTACGACTGGCATTGTGCACCACGATCTCTTCGGCGCGGGCAAGGCGAACGCGAGGACATTCATCTTGTGCACATTCTTGATCTTTGTGGAAGGTCTGTGTATATTCGCCTTTGCTATCTTTTATCCTATCATGTAAGTCCCTTGCCTTGTTGTAGAAGGACTTTGAGCGGCTGACTCTTATGGTACACAGGTCTCAAATCCTCTTCACAACCGATCCTATTCTCGTCGTTCTTCGATCCCAGGCGGCTTGGATCCCGGCATTGATTTCGACAGTTCTTTGGGGCTACGCCAGTACTCACTTCCGCACGATTCGGGAGCCATTGCTGGTGGGAAACGTGATCATGACAGCAGGCGTGGTAGGGCTCGCCACCGTTCAACCAGGTCAATCGACCAACGCCATTGCCTTTGCTTGTGTCGCCGGCGTGGGCTTTGGAGCGCCTCTCGTTCTCACCGTCAGTGGCGCACAGCTTGTCGTCCCACATAAAGTCCTGGCGACCGCCTCAGCGGTGACGACGACCGCACGTGCCATCGGCGTCGCCATCTTCACCGCCATCTTCACGGCCGCCTTCAACACACGGCTCAAACGCTACCTGCCCGAGTATATAATCGCAGCCGCCAAGGCCTCTGGGCTCCCCGGTTCTTCGATCCCGGCCTTCCTCGAGGCATTAACGACAGGTCAGACCGCCACGCTGCCCACCATCCCAGGCGCCACCCCGGAGATCACTGCCCAGGGCTTCAGCGCTTTGCAGCAGGCCTACGCGGACTCGATCCGGGTGGTGTTCACCATCGCCGCTCCAATCGGTCTCGCGGGCAGCATCGCGTGCTTGTTCCTCGGCGACCTGAAGAAGACGATGAATTATCGGGTCGATGCCCCGGTCGAAGAGCTGCATGCGAAACGGGGTCGCCACACTGAGACAGCGACGGAGAGGCGCGTTTGATGGTTGCAAGTCCGCTCTCGAGAGACCGGGAGAACGTGGGTTGAATTTGGTACCAGCCCATGATATCACCCTCGTAGTGGTTTTCGTCCCGAGCCTTGTGTGTTTGATTCCATTTGACCCTTGTACTCCCATTAAATTCCATCTTTGGCTTAATGTGAGAATGGATGAGAGGCCGGTAGATCGAAAAAAAAAATAATCAAATTTACCTGGCCACGCCCTAGTATTGCCTCGAAGACACTCGCGCTGTCAATGTACTCGTACAAAAATGGGCCCACTATGTACCTACGTCCATACTAACTCGGTAAAAAGTACTCAGACTACACTACTTGGGGAAATGGGCTAGCTACCATCGGCACTAGCGTCTTACCGCGACACTGAGAGACTATGTACTGTATACTCCGTACCTTACTATGAGGCAGCCACTGTTGATTATTACAGCCAATGAAACGCTCTAGTTGGTGCCTATCCCTTGGCTAGTCTACATACATAGTCAGGCTTAACAAGTCCCTCGTGTGCTTCGCGTAGGTCGGTACAAGTACTCGGTACACGAGTATCCAACAACCAACACCCGGTCACAATTTCGCCCCCGTGCCGACTTGCGGGGAAAGCTGCGCGACGACCTTCTCCATCTGATAAAAGGGCACGTAGGCGCGCAGCTGCCGGATCTCGTCCGCCGTGAGCTTCAGCCTGCGCAGGGCGGCCTCCCCTTCGCACAGGACGGCCTTGACCTGGATCTCGAGTTTCTTCCCGTTGGCGTTGTAGGGCACGACGTCGGTCTCGAAGATGTGCGTCGGCACGTGTCGCCGACTCAGGTCCCGCGCGATCTGCGCGCGGATGGCGGCGTCGAGGTCCGCCCGGACTCTGGGGGGTGAGCCCGTCGTCGCCTCCGGGTGGCATTTGATGAACAACACGACTTTCTCGGCCGAGTCCGCGTAGGGGGCTGAGAGACGCTGCTGCCCGACGACCAGGGCGTCGGCGATCGAATCGCGGAATCGGGGCGAGCCGAGGAGATTGTAGATCTCGGCGCTGCCGAAGCGCACGCCGGAGGGGTTGAGGACCCCGTCACTGGGTATATCCAAACGACCGTCAGTCAGGGATGAGGAGCCCCTCTTCTGTTATGACTGTTGTCAGGTAGGTAGGTAGGTAGGGCACTACTCACCTCCGGCCAAGGACGTAGATGCCTTTTGTCGCAGGGTTGACGCGGATGAAATCGCCGTGTGTCCACACATCTAACATATCATGGCACGTGAGTGTCTCGAAAGAGTTGGGGGGGGGGGGGTGGTTACTTACGCGGGAACCGCTCAAAGTAGGAGGCGTGGTACCTCTTCCGGCCAGGGTCGTTCCAGAACATGGCCGGCATGTTGGGGAACGGTTTCCGACAGACCAACTCGCCGCTCTCGCCGTCGGGAAGCTCGTGGCCGTCGACGCCAAAGACGGCCACGTCCATGCCGAGGCCCCTCACCGCCAACTCTCCCGCGTACGATGGGAGAGAGCGGGAGCCTTGCAGGAATGAGCCGGAGATCTCTGTGCCGCCGGACATGCAGAGCTGGCAGACGGGCCCGAACGCTTCGACGAGCCATTCTGCAAGGGCGGGGGTGAGGACGGCTCCGGTGGAGATTATGGAGTGAAGGCTCTGACAGTATTTTCCTACAAGGGGTCAAAAACAGTCCTGTTAAAAAAAAAAGGGGGGGGAGGGGAAACATCTTCGACTCGCTCGTTGTGTCTCGCGAGGACTTGGAAAAGAAACAAGGACACTGACTTGGCTTCACCGAGGCCTTTTGAAGTTCGGCGTAGTAGCGAGGACCGGCGCCAAAGCACGTAACCCTAGCTGTCGTCAGTACCTGTTTGCTTCTCGAATCAATCACAGCGATGCCGTTTGGGGGGCTTACTTGAGACGAAATAGCGCCTTCAAGAACCCTTCAGGTGACGGGTAGAACGGACTGCCGTCGTACAAGATGACGGCCGCGCCGACAAACAGCGCGTGGACCGAAATGTTCCACAGGGTCCATCCAATCTGCTCGGGGCGGTTAGCAAGTGCAGTGCAAGTCCCGATCGATGGCGACAACACTCACGTTTGTGTACTGATAGAACAAATCGCCCGGACCAAAGTTGTTGTGCAGATTATATTCTTTCCGACCATTCACGACGAGACCCTGGGGGAATTGTCAACTTTGTCTTTCAGTCTCCGGCTTGGTGTGAAAGCCACCAAAGAGGAGGAGCCTCGGGAGGGTTTACCCCGTGTGAGTGGACAATGCCCTTTGGAGTT